TGATTTTGGTATTTGTAATTGATATATAATTGTTTATTTGATATATAATCGTTTATTTGTATTTATCGGTTATTGAATATTGTTTGTTATCGATCGTCGTAGTTTGTTTGTATTTGTTTTTACGATTAACATGTATTCATTATTAATGTTTCATGCTTATTTCTGTCTTTATTTGTTGAGGATGTATATTGTATAGTATGGTATAGAAAATTGTATAGCTTTTGCGAGGAGCTGTACAGTTTTTTTAGAAAATTGTATAGCTTTTTTTTTTTTAAATGAAATTGTATAGTTTTTTTGGAAGATTGTATAGCTTTGTCTTAAAAATAATGTAGGATTTTGTATAGAAAGCTGTATAGTCTTAAGGTGATTAAACTTTTAGTTTATAAATTCCGTTTTATTTTCTTGCGAGCTGGCACACTGGACGTTTCTGCACCAGGCAAATGTTCCTTTTATTTTTCTTTTTTTTTTGCAATTGTAAGCTTATTTATTTCTTGTAAATCGAAGGACCGAGTTTGGAGTTTCTTTTTTTTTGAGAGCCGTCAGATAATTTAGGAAATTAGCCAGCAAAGTAGTAGCTCATTATTGCAGAGATGGATGGGTTTCATGGAAATGAGCCGAGCTGCCTGTTTTTAGAAAATAACTGGTAGCCGAGGTTTATGATTCTTGAGCTTGAGAGCAATCCCTCTCTCCCTCACTTCGTGGCTCATTGTTAGTAGGGTAAACTTACCCTCCTGCATTTTTTTGCTACAGCTCGTTCCTTTCTTCTAGCCTTTATCGTGGTCTGCGGAGGGCAGCTTTTAGGCAGGGATGGTGATACTCAGCACAGACACACACACACATACACACACATACGTACACCCTCCCCAAAGATATTTGGAGCGATTGAAGTCTTGCCAGCAGCTTCTATCGGGCGAACCGCTGAGTTGGTAATCCATTCAGGAGTCGAAACGAGCGTCAGAATCGCCAGCACGCTGACCATCGACGATACAGCATTGGTCAAAGCACTGGAAAAGCTTAAAAATACACAGTTGGAGTGCCACACTATGAATTGTCATCCGTTCGAGGTGCTCATTTAATTGCTTTATTATAGTGACCAGTGAAATATGATGCATAATGATTAATTATCGGCATGAGAACAGAAGGGGAGGGAGGGGTATCTTTTATTATGCGTTTTCTGCTGTGTATATTGTCACAGGGTTGTCTGTGTGTGTTCCATATTTTGTCCCGCACTTTCAACTCGGGAACCACAAAAGCTAGGCGGCTGAGATTTTGGTATAGTGTTCCCGTCAGTGGGTGACGCGACAAATTTGAATTCAGCCTTCCCGTACTCGCGGGTAACTCGTACGGCCCCATGAAAAATTTTTTACGGGTAAATTAATATCTCAGGAACCACGAAGTCTAGGAGGCTGAGATTTTATGGTAATGACCCCCTGCCCACGCTAAACTTTGTCCATTCAAAGTCAGCGTTCCCGCGCTCTTGAGTATCACCAACGGCCTCGTGAAAATTTTGACAGGTAAACACGGGAATCACGGAAAGATATTACCTAAGGCTCGTGAAAATTTTGGCGGATAAACTATTAATTCGGGAATCACGGAAAGATATTATCCTTCAAGGTTTCATATTCAACTTTATACTTGGTGCGTGAAATTTTTAACTGTTTTCCAATGTTTGAACTATTTTTGCACAGACTAAAGTACAAAGAGTGAAAATCATTAATAGGTAATCGTTCGATGGGCTGAATTGCACAAAACGCATGATCGCACTCGCTAATCTGGTGCGCGTTGCTATTTATTTTATTTCAGCATTTTGCTCAACGGATTTTTGGCTTGTAATTGTTTTTGAAATAGTAAACATACTGCTTACCACCAGTTTCATCAGCGATGCTATCGAAGCCTCTGGACGATGCGCTGGCCGCTGAGGTATGTTATTTTTCGAATTTCCCTGATTTTCGTTTTTGCGCCTTTGTGCAAATGCCTGAATACACATTGGTGAAAGGTTTTCGACGTGTATGACTGGGCTTTTGTTACCCACATTCAACTCCGCAACAACAGCCGGAATTTCGCAAAAATGCTATTTGATGATGTGCCATCCAAGCAGTTTAAATTTAACGTTCACGTACTTCTAATTTTCATGTACGGGCATTTAAAAGAATTTATACAACTTTTTTGACGTAAAAGCGATTTCGGGAACCAGACAAGATAGAAAGCTAGAAGTCCACAGGGATATTCTACGTCCTTGTTTAAGTTAAAGATTTCAAATTCAGCTTTAACGTCCACTTACACTATATTTACAGGCAGGCCAAAGTTGGAATTTTGACCACCGTTGGCAAAATGCCAGGCCCTGTTTGGTTTGTATTATCTCAGAAAGTTTAGATGGGATTTGTGCTTCGTGCATAATTCATCAGTAGCATCTGTGCCTTCATGCGATGCCTAATAGGCCTTTAAAAAGCGTGTGCACTTAAGCAAAGTTTGTGCGACACATATCATTGTATCTCCGAAAAACATTGACAGTAGAGTAGCACTGTTGTCGGGCAGTAGTTCGAAGGTTCAATTCTGCCACTAGGACAGCCTATCTTTCTACGATTCGTTTCGATGGTAAATTGGTACTGGCATAGTCCGGGAAGTCAAACCCGCTATCAGCTTGCTTGTAAGCAACCCTCTGAAGAGGGATCCATCGACAGCCTTGCCAGCAAATGGTTCCTATTGGCATTTGCTAGAACTCGAGCTACTTTCCGAGTACCTTGGCTTTTCACT